TTGACTTGAGGCTTGAGATGATGAGAACATTGGTGTCCTATAGAGTGAGTTCGTTGAGGCTTGAGTTGATGGATGGAAAGATTGGTGTACAATACTGTACAGTGTTTGGTGTGGCTTGGACCCCAGAGCTGGGAAGCGGTACTGAGTACCACCCTAACCCATCCCCAGCATTGGGAAGCGGTACTGAGTACCCGTTACCCAATTTGGGTTTTCTGGGATAGTGTAACTCGGGGAAAGTTACCGGCCAAGGTGCAAAATTGGTACCAAAGCTCAGTTGCGCTAGAGCAACGCTAACCGCTTCTTCAGCGCAACTGAGCCAGCATTGATCAAGGTCTCAGAAAAGAATTAGCTGTAGCTTGGCGTACTTCTGTTGTATAGAAACATACTGCTGATTTCTTTCATATTGTGACTAGCACAATCAGCGGCGGGCGCCGCCTCAACGGTCTCAACCTGTGCTTGTCTTAAAAATTTTCTGTTGTGGAACTTATTAGTCATTCTTTATGTGTATTTCACACCTTCTGTAAAATCTCAGTTACGCTCCTAAATGTTTTTCATATTGAAGACGCATTCTATTGAAGCTTGCCCCCTCCCCACTCAGTTTGCGTTGACATCGAGTCTTGGTGTTCTTTTCTCAATTTTGACATGGTATTCTCCAGCTTACCTGTGCTCCCATAATGAAAATAAGTCAATAGAATAGTCAACTTGAGGCATATAACCTTCTAGTCACATCAATGAATCATTTTCTGTCTCTGAAGTGATTAATAGATGGACTGATTTGGATTACTATTGTGCCTTTGGGGATTTTGAACATTCCTGGAGATACACATATCTGCTAATGGGAAATGTATATTCTAGTACAGTGTGGCACCACTCTACAATTTTTTTATCATGGACAATTTGTTTTCTTGAAACAAATCAACTTAAAGAGCTTAACTTTAAGATTGGTCTTAGTTTATCTTTCAAGTGATTCATTTCAAAACAATTTCATGTTATTCAATGGTTTTGAAGAATATGATCATTGTATTTCTCAAAGTAAAGATATGCATAGAAACATAAAAAAGATATAAAAATCAATTGAAAAACTTCATACAATACTTTACTGAAACAATTTAAAACTGCCTTCATATATGAAATGATCAAAGAGCCTTTGTGCTGTTTCAGATTACCTTCATAAATATAAAAAGTTCTGAAAATGTAAAATTTCTTTCAACCACAAAAATATTTCAAGCTGCTTGATACATTGCTGGACCTAATCATCCAATAATCATCAAAATGAGACAGAAAAAACTTTCAGTGAGCTAGTATTGGTCTTGAGATTATTTAGATTATTACCCAAATCAAAAACCCTTGTTCAACATGATATCTTGATTCAAAAGTGTGA